GCATATGAAGATGACCCAGGAGGGCCAGAGGAATCTATCAATCGAACATAAGATGAAACTTTCATAAAGTAGATTACCAGACAAGCAGCTATCAATATGACAAGTGCTTTACAAAGCTCCTTATGTTTCAGATTAGTACAGCAAATAAAACATCAACAAGCTCACAAATGAAAACACAAATTAAAGCAAAATGTATTACAGATTTTAGGACAAAAAGTCATAAAGAATGAAATCTATCTGTATAATCTTCAATGTACAAGAATGTAAGATATTCAAATACGCCATTCAACTTATAGAGAAAAAAACAAAGGAAAAAGCCTGAGGCGCTGGACACTTTGAGTGGAAGTTTCATGCAAATGTGGCATTCCCACTGGAGTTAATTGAAGCTCTTAGACTGTGGGTATATTCCTAGATGGACTACTAATCAAGCAGTGGCAACCATTAAACAAAATGTTGAGGGGGTCATGGCCTTAATTGCATAAAAAGTAGAAATTAAGAGAGAATTTGGCAGAATTAAAATGAATAGACAGATATGAAATGTAAATGATATAAATAATCATTAGAAAAATTATTTTGAGTGTTTGTTCAGAAATGGATTGAATAAGTTCCTAAAACAATGTAAAAAGTGTTTAGTTCCCAAAATGCGCTTTTTGGACTAAGATGTCATGAACTACAATTATTTGGTCAGTCGAATAAGCAATAAAATATATTTTGGAAAGTGGCTTTAAGTGAATTGTTGCCTTGTGCTAACCTGGGCAGTTCCTAACTGTCCATGCTTAATCAGTTTTAGATGAACCTTATAATCAATACGTAATTTTCATGCTCTTAAACAATATACGATTTTCCCGATGTTTCTTCTTGCATGAAATTCTTCCCATTTTATATTTTGCAATGAAGAATGAAGCAGTGACGTTAAATGATGAAAGTCATACCAAATCATCCCGAAGATTATGTTTAATATTTGCAATATAATTTAATATCGCTTTGTGTTAACGAGCATCTCTCTCTTGATTATGTGACGCCCATATGCAATCAGCATCTTTAGTACCTAAACGGGACAGAAAGTCTAGCAATGTGTACTTTTCCCTTCTAGAAACACATCAACAATCGTATCTTAATTTCTTACAGAATTTTGTCAGAGGTTTAACCAGTATATGAAACATGCAGTGAGGTAATTGGTAACAACATATGAATGGCAACACAAGAAATCTTGAATTCAACTTGATATTGTCAGCGAAAAATAAATATGCTGACAAATTGTATGCGAGAATTAATCAGGAATGGGCCAAGGAATAGATTAACAGGCGTTTTTTAGCTTGTTTCCAAGTGAGAACAAAGTAATTATCGGAAAAGGACATTATCCGTGAGGCTCATCAGTAGAGAGGTTTCATGGCTCTAAATAGGCAGTTTGCATGTTCTTGTATTCATAGGCAGTGTACCAGCACATGGAGACCAACACAACCCTTACACATCAAAGTGGACATGTTTTTTAATACATGGAATACAACGAGATTGATAGAACAAATTTTGCCATCGAAACAAAGGTGCAAGAACTTTTCTTCAGGGTGATCAATTTTCCTTACAGTGTTTCAAATATGCCTATCTTTAAACTAGTCGCTGTTTTGGGAAGAACAATTTCAATTAGGCCAAGATAATATAAATTGACAGTTCCTTGTTGTTTCCGAAAAGGAAAATGTAGAAAATAGCATGACAAATACAAAGAAATCTTAGAATGTCCAGATGAGAATGATTTGAATGCTGAATGCATGGTTAGGCATGGTTTAGGGAGAGTAAGTCTATTTAGTATGGTTGATTGACCCTGTCGTCTTCCTAGCAGTAAACCAACCACAACCTATCAAGGAGTCTCCCTAATGACCAATTCACAATACTGCTGATGTAAATCATGAAATTGGTCATGTATTTTTAAAGCAAGAGACAATGAGACATAAATCGAATTAGTAAGCATTAAAATGAACATCTAGCAAAGCTGCTTTGCTCAACCTAAGCACAAATTGTTAAAATCAACAAAAAAAGAGAACAAATCCATATTTTTTATTTAACCAATGACTGTTTAAAATTCCATTATTTCTTACAGTATTGTTTCATTTCTAAAAGAGGGATTGCTGTACCTCGGGGTATTAAAGATATCAAATAATGCCTGATGCATTAACGAGAATCTAATCAATACTGAACTACATTTTTAACTCAGGTAATTGCTTATCCCATTAACATTTCACCAAATATAAACTGTCTGATTTTCTAAAAACAACCAGTTCTTTTTGGTTCTTCCACATGCCATTATGTTGCATATTTCAACATATTAAACACAATGACATTCTCCATGATTTAGTACATTAATGAAATCTGGTTCTATAGAATGTTATGCCATTAACTTAGAACAATTGGGTCAACATGTTTTCTGTTTATCTCCCCATCAAGTCAAACCTAACATATGACACAAGACCATCCCTCATTATACTTAATATATGTACATACAGTAAAACCTGTCTTAGTGAACACCTCTCTCTAGTGAACACCTGTCCCTAGTGGACACCCTTCCTACGCACATAGTCCACTGACTTCTGTATAAATTACCATCTCTCTAGTGAACACCTACCTACAGTGAACGTTTTTTCTTGGCAAAAAATGTTCACTATACACAAGTTTTACTGTATAACAATCTACAACATAGAATACAACCCTCATGAGTCATTATACTATATACATATAACATGGAATACAATGGAATTGAGAAACATCACAAATATAACATTTTCCATAAAATACAAATACGTAGTAAGAAGAGCAATTAACAAGGAATGAATGGAGTAACTACTTCTGTACTTCTTTTATATACTTTACAAAATATCAAACTTTATTTAAATTTTGGGCATAAAATAAGCTCAAGGTCATATGAAGAGTTTAAGAACAGGCCATGAAGATTTTTCCACCTTGAATAATGTGTGAATGTTAGGAAATGTTTGCCACTTGATTGTGTCAGCCAGCTGCCACAGGATCAATGGGAATGAGGCGTTGGAGGCATGTAGAACATATGACTATCACAAGGGCATGTAATATCTGCATCCAAGGGCATTGAAATACAAACTGGTTCTAGGGCTATATGACATCTTAATAAGGGCATTATGTTAAAACAAAACAAGGCTATACACCATTATGAAACAAGGGCATTATATTATAAAACAGGGGAATATAACATTATGAAACAGGTATCATTATATGTTAACAAAACAAGGGTATATAACATTATAAAACAGGGGCATTATATCATCACAAAACAAGGGTATATAATTTCATGAAACGAGGGCATTACATCATAACAAAACAAGGGTATATAAAATTATGAAACAAGGTCACTCAACAACTTGACAAAAAGGTATATCATTCCGGTAAAAGGGTATTAAGTGCAGCACCATATGAGGAATTTGATATCTAATTTCCAGTATAAATCATTTTGAATTTATTTGAGGCATTAGAACACTTAAACTGGCATTATGACAAAGTGATAATCTAGTCATAGGGCTCTTTAAGCCTTCGCACCATTGACCCATGCTGTCTATTGCTTCTGACTTCCCAGAAACAATATAAAACAATACAGAAGTGTCATATACATGAATAATTATCAATAAACTGAACATAATAATCCAATGCTATTATAATGATGCACTCAGTAATGGGGTTAATAGAGAATAAATGCGTTACTTGTTCATGTCTCATGTTACTGCATAGAATGATGTCATCTGAGTGTTTCATTGATATATAATCTGGTGTAAAACATGATGAATAAACCAATGCTCATATATAAAAATATTTTTTTCATTTTTACAACTGAATTCACCAATTTAAATAAGCTATCAATAAATTTTGAATTAGACATTTAAGAACAATAGGTTTTGTACTTCACAATCAGTTAAGAAAGTTGATTTTCTCTCATTAATGAAAAAAGTTTGAAAAAAAGTTTGTTAGATATGAAATGTTCAAATGCCCATACTCTTGACAGAATCATTCTCCTATTTCATATTTGTCAATGGTCAGTTATGAGTGCCACCTATGCTCTACGAATGAGTGCCACCTATATATTGGAAAATGATGCATGGCACCAAAAGAAGGCATATGCCAGAACTTCTAGAAATATACAAATCATTTCACTTTGGAATTTCCTTAAAGTAGCCTCTTAACCCCCACCCCACCCCTGTCTTCTTCACACTCCATATAAGTATGTAGAGAGGGAATTACAAAAGGTTTGAAAACAAGTCTAGAATTTCTTATGTAGAGAAGTCACGACTAGTGGTGCATGACCAATCACTCTGAGATGAGAAAACAATAGTCACTTTATACGAGGTAATAATCATCATGTTACCTCATAACTTCGTTATTGTTCTTCTCAGCAATTGTTTGTTTTAATAAGTATAACTGGAAATAGCTTGTATATTAATTTAATAGGAAATTATCTTACATGGCATCAAGAAAATTATCATTTGAAATGGGCTAAACACATAAAGTGCTATAAAATTATATTCACCCTTATTGTTTTAAATGGAAATTAATTGTAATATCCGACGTGACAATAGCATTTAAACCTAAGATATCATCTACTGTCATAAATAATTTCCTCTTTGCTTAGGAATTAACGATATAATTGAACGAATGACTCAATAAAGTGTTTATCTCTACCATTTCTTTGATAAACAAAAACACCAATTATTATAAATCACAAATTATGTAATCCAAATATAATACTAAAATCTATTTTTGCTGAATAATTGAATTCAAACTTTTAATTTAGAAGATGTTTCTATGATATAATAACATTTATAATGGTCAGTCATTAAACATATTTTCTTAAAAAAAAAAAATCAAAAATAGTAATTGCAGCGAACAAGACATTCCAAAAGTTTATGAAATTTTCTATAAGTTACACATCTCTCTACTTTGCAATATCAGCAATTTTAAATAGTCAAAAAGCCCATCAAGTTTCTTACCTTTGTGATCTGTGGTGTGATCTGAGGAATTATTGGGGGTGATGTGACGGGTAGGTAGACAATGTTTCCTCCATACTGTTGTAACATTGTCGCGGCCATTTAACACTAAAACGTCTCAATAAAAATATCTTCAAAATTCTCCAATCAAAAATCGTATAAAAATTATGCTTTTTGGCAGCTGAAGTTATTGCGTTGTGTCCTCTAAACTGTCTTTGTTTTGTAAAATTTAGTATAAAAATACAAAAAATCCTTATAAATATCTGTGTGAAATGTTGCGCTATGTAGTTCGAATCATCAAGTTATGTAGTAACCGAGCGGACATATAAAGTATGAGTGTATTATTGTCGCTGGAACAAGACTGAATGACTGAAGGTCCATATACGCCTGGCAGCATGCATATAAGAGTAAAACAATGGTGCAATCAATAATAGACACAGAGAGAATATGTTCAGCTCTCCCAATGGCTCTTTAATATAGAACACTCCCTCTTATTAAACAACCAACCAGCAATAGGGGTTGTTATTACCACAGGAGGACTCTCAAATTATTAAATATTGATTGGAAAGTTCTTTCACTTTTGATACATTTAATAGGTTTTTACATAGAAATCTACAAGGCTTTTGTTCAAACAAGATCTAATCAAATAAAACAAATTGTAATTTTTCAGTTTCCGTTTGATATAAAGAAAATGTGTTCCATAGAACAGATGTAATTAGTCGGTAGGCTACAATATTCCCAAAATTCAATTCAATGGACAATTGATTCAAATAAAAGAAACATACCTATATTATTGGTCTAAAGATATGGAAACACATGGAATAAATGAGAAATTAGTACTGTAAATAAACACATTTTTTATAAAAGTTTGATAACATACAAAAGCTACAAGATCAAACAACTTCAGAAAAACAGCCAATAAACTACCAAAGGAAAAACATTTTACGAAGATAACATAACAAATATGTCACGATTCAAGTCACAATATTTTGTATTCTCGCATTTATGAACTGATGATGATATCTGATCAATAGTCAATTAGATGTAAGAGGCCGAAAACAAGTGCTCTACAATATTCATGACCTAGCCTCAATGCTATATACTAAAACATTCATGAACCATTGAAACAATCATTTTCTAATTCTACCCGTCCAAAACTTTCCACGAGAAACAACAATTCTAAATTCTTGTCTAAGATTTTGTAATGTATTATATACTTGATTTTCAGACCATCCATATGACAAAACTAGCTATTTTCTTTGAAAACAATGCCTCAGTGTTTTTTATCAGATATAGCAATGAAGAGAACTGCAACTGGAATGACAATGTACAGGACTGCCAATAATTCAGTAATCGCAATCCCAAACCTGCTAAGTTTCTTAATAACAGTCATTCCCAATTTTCTAATTTGTTGGCAACATATCCGTGAACAAGATTGAATACTGCATGAATAGCCGGAAGTGTTTTTTCAATCTTGGAACTATACACATTACGAACAATAAGTTTAAGGACAATTCTTCAGAATAGTAAAGTAATATGCTTAAAATGTCAAAATGTTAAGCCTATCTACCCAAATGTTCTCAAAAGTTGATAAACCCATTCACATTTTTTCATTTCTACAATTTCATTATTTCATTTTATTTTTTGACAGTATACTTCAATAACTGTCTGCTCGCTAGGAATGACTGAGTTGTACAATCCTACCTATTTCGCCTTATTCAGGGAGATAAAACAATCATTGCCTAATTTTATGAAATCTATGAACATAGCACTTAAATATGTATGCAGATGTAGACAAAAACTTTGTAACTTTCTGAAATCATACAGAATTTTATGCGATTTCGATCAAAACCTAAAGAATCATCCTACATCTAAGTCTAATAAAAATAAGCAAGTGTGAAAGCTGCTACTACATTTCGGATCAAAGCTGGATACCTTCTGTTAATCCTTCTAACAACTGATAGCCAGAAAAAACAGAATTTACAATTTAATCAAGCCCAGGTATCTCGATAACATATTGATTTCATCGCCAGCTATTGTCGCATAGCCTGTCGGTTATGCTTTGTAACTATCGCACTTGCATGGAACGATCACAAAAACTCTACAAAATTAATAATGAAATATTCATTTAATAAGAGATAAAATTCCCTATTAACTGATGAAAAAATGGTAATGAATAATTCAGCAGTTTTTTACAAATGGAATGCATACATATGTTACCATCATGGCGTTCTTACCTGATTGTCTGTTTATAGAATACATGTACAGAACTCCATAAATATTTCAAACACTATAGATAAGTAGAATCTATTGATATAACATGTATAATACATGTGACTATAAATACTTATTTTAGATACAATGAAACAAAAGATGATTCAATGGTACAAAAGGGATAATAACTAATATAAAACAATAATATCACGAAATGTTCCATAAAAACATCTATTCAAAACAACTATAGAAACCATAAAGTCTAAAAATGATCCTATTCAATTGATGATAAAACCTTGGTATGAGAACATACCTTGACTTGTCTTTATAAAATTTTTTTTTGTTTTGTTCTATTGACTTCAATGTTAAAAAGATGCAACCTCATGACATGTCTAAACTTCAAGTATGGGGTCCCAACCCAACATAAACATTATGTTACCTTGAACACTTTTGGCTGGCTTTAGTAGTGTTATCATATTATTAAGAAGTTTTACAGTAGATAATTACACAGACAAATAAAACGCTGATAAATCATGGAACAAATCCAGCAATTTGTAACAAGGAAGGGCAGTATACAATACTAAGTTTATGATTACCCCTATGGTAAACCAAGCAGATGTTTTTGATGTTATCTACAAATACAATTTAGAAGAATTATATCTGTATTAGCATCATGGGTCTGTATCTCATTGGTCTCATTATTGGCTAGATTAGGTCATATTGAGAAATAGCCTGGTCCATATGTTTTCGTGATTAAACATAAGTTGTAATTGTTTCATCCAAATTGATTTCATTTCCTCTGTAGTCATCCTGGACAAGACCAAAACAAAGGAGAGCCAGACAGCCATTTAAGATTACTGTATGCCCTATCATGTCCTGCATTTCCTATTGTATTGATCAAGAATATGAAAGTCGAGAGAATTTCAGGGGAGGGGGATTTCCAGAAACCTGTTCTCGTGAATTCGTAGGTTTAACAAGAAATGTGACCAGAATTCAACAGGAATATATATATATTTCTAGACTTGAAGTTATGATTAAACAAAGCTACAAGTAATACACGTAATATTCCATTTTCTAAATAATACGAAAATTAGAAAATATTACATTTCATTGAAATTTTAAGAAAATGTAGGAGATTAGCAAAAGTACCACTTTATTCTTAGAAAACATAGTATTATAAATCCCAAGTGTTGGTTTAAAATGAATAATTAAATACATTACAGTAAGATCGATGCATTAAGAGGCAGTATACACTGATGTGATGTCACAGCATAAACACCTGTCAACTCCAAACTCATAGAGAGCCTGAATAAATAACCTGATAAATACATCAAAATGGAAATGTACTTAGTGGAGAAGATACGAATATATACTGCCATCTATTGGTTTCAATAACAAATGTTGACAAATCAGGGTCAATGTTTCAATGATGTCCCGAAATGTAATTATCAAATTGTCAGATTGACACACCCTATCCCTAAAAAAATGCAATTGAAGATAATAGTTGCTTGCTTTAAAATCTATGTATGCTAACAAAATGAAATCAACTCTAACCCCCCCCCTCCTCCCTCTGACCAAACATCCATCTACATTATTCCATTCTACCAACAGACTTAGAACATTGATGGAGTTGGGCTATATGCCAATAAATATAAAAGTACACGTCATAACTGTTCATGTACTTCGACTTGAATAAAACGTTTTATGCTTTCATAAAATGTGTAGTGAAATTTTCAATAAAGATTACTGTCACAAAAAGCATCTGTCCTGGAATCAGCTCATAAAAACAATGATATTGATTATTAAAAATATAACAAACTTTGTTTGATTTGAAAAATTGGAACATTTCTATATATTTTTTGAAATAAACTCTAAACTAGAAAGAGAACTGACATCAAGAAACAAAATACTGCTCTGTTTCATTCTATATCAATGTAAAACGATTGACGTCAACTGATAGTGCACTTATTCAAAGTCAAGCAGAATGTCACCTCAGTCTGTATCAATTCAGCCCCCAGCAGTCTAAAAGGCCATATGACCCTCATGTTAACATATAGAACATGTCATAGCACTCACTGGAAACACAGAACAAGAACAAAACATAGTCACCCAACACACCAATCAATTTCATGTTTCATCTCCAGATTTTAAATGCAGCAACAAACTTTCTAGTGATCATAACACATTTAAATCGAAATTTCACAAATCGCTCATTAAACTTTTAGCTAATTCCCCTTTTTGCATAATTCCCACCCTGAACTCAAACAATCGCGAATTTTATTTACAGTTGGGGTTACAATTTGCTTTTTGCCTCTATTGATCCTTCATAAAGGCACTTAGAGCTAAGCATTGTCCATAGTGTTGTATTTTTTACTTTATTCAAAGAGGCACTGGTGCTTAAGGTTCCTCACTTATTGCCCTTATTCAACTAATTTATCTGTGGCAATACATAGAACACTTGATCATTATCAATTTCTGTTCAAAATTGTGCCTTTTTCATGCTGGTATAATTCTTTCCCGTATAATTTCATGATCGTCCATGATAATAAGCATACAAAAACATAACTCATTTGACGTTTTATTCGCAAGCTGTCTGAAAGAAGTACACAAACTTATATTCACACAACCCATCAAAAATATTAAGCAAATAAGTTCGTTTTATGATTTTCTCATTCTGAATAGTAAACTATCAAGTAAAAAATCAAGTAGCTAGAAAGTCATATTAACCTACAGACTAGTACATTATATGCTAGTTCTCTGATAAAAATTTGAATAATTCAATGTCACCTCAACTTAGAACACACAGCTAACTGAGATCATCATTTCATGCCCCCTCCCCTACCTACGGTTGTTATAAAGATATTATATAAAATATAACATGAAAAACAACATCAAAGAAAGACAGTGAAAAGAAAGTCCCCAAATGGAGACACAGCACTATTATATTGATTACCATGATACCCAAAAGATGGGCACTTTCTTGTGATCTTGATAGAATATATTTTTACCCGTCACTACGCAGACAATCAGATTTTGAAACAATAGAAATGCTGTTACTTTGATGTGATACGGATGTTTTCATTTGCAATCTATTTTTATTATGTTCTTTTTGTGGTAAGCCCAGCCTCATCAATGCTCCAATCTTAAATTCATCACATATCTTTCAAGTCAAGTTTTCTTGTGGCTTACTCTATTGGCCAACACTATACAGTATATTGGGTTCATATACAATATAATATGGCTTATAGAGGTTTATATTTAGTTTTTT